TCTCTCTTCAAATAAGTCCAACCTTTCCAACTCGGCTTGAATCATCTCAGCACGAGCTTCGGCAGCTGCAAGGGCTTCTTCTCTAAGAAGTTTCTCCAATTCGAGGTCTGCCTCTAACCTCTTCCTCTGCTCCTCGGCTCTTTTTGCAGCAAAGGCTTCACGTGCTCTTTGTACGGCGATGTCAGCTCTTGCCTCTGCGGCAGTCAACTGAAGTGAAGATTTAGTCGATGATTTCGAACTCCGCACACTACCTGATCTCACAGACATCTTCGGTGAAGATGTGTATAAGAGACAGCTTTTGTAACTCTGCTAATGCACCAGTATACGCCTTTTCCACATCGTTAACATTTCTCAATCGGAACCTATCCACCAACGTCTTTGCTGGGCCGGTGGTGTATTTTCCCAGAAAGGAAAGTTTTTCAACTGTTGGAACGCATGCTGCATTCACCATCGATTCAAATGCTCTTCTCCAAGACAAAAATAAAATAGGATCACCAGAGTATTTATCTGGTTCCTGGATTGGCAATCTCTGACGAGCCAATATTTTCACACACTCAGCATTGGTGGATACAAATGGTGGTGCATTTATATTCCAAGCTGGTTTCACTGATTCACAGGCTACTTCTTGTTTGGTTGGTGATTCACGAAGCTTTGTTCTAACAATCTCTGCTTCGCTGCTTGCTTCTGAATGGACTGGTGATTCAGGCTGCTCTGGGATCTCTGCCAGATACTCTTCCACACGTTGGTTGGGCGTTTCATTTGGTAAAGTCTCTAACACACTTCTCTCTTCAAATAAGTCCAACCTTTCCAACTCGGCTTGAATCATCTCAGCACGAGCTTCGGCAGCTGCAAGGGCTTCTTCTCTAAGAAGTTTCTCCAATTCGAGGTCTGCCTCTAACCTCTTCCTCTGCTCCTCGGCTCTTTTTGCAGCAAAGGCTTCACGTGCTCTTTGTACGGCGATGTCAGCTCTTGCCTCTGCGGCAGTCAACTGAAGTGAAGATCTAGTTGATGACTTCGAACTCCGCACACTACCTGATCTCACAGACATCTTCGGTGATTGGGTGTTGGATGTAAACCACAAAGGAAGCTATTTTTACTGTGCTGGCCTCGCGACTTCTCGTATGTCGCTATCCAGGAAGCTAACCGGTTCAACAACAAAAAACAAGTACATATACTTGCAATTTCACTCAGGATTTATTGCATACTAAACACGGTAACTGTAAAGCAAGCAGATAAGAAAATATATGTTGAACAAACTGTACAGCTCAAAACTCGAGCTATCTCTATATTATTTTGTGTTATATCATAATAAAGCGCCCTCAATAATTGCGCTCGACTTGACACCGCTCGAATCACAACTCGAGCGTAACGATAACAAATTTTACTAAGCTCATGTACTCGAGCGTAACTATGAAAACATAAAATTATATGGCAAATAACGCCTTAAATGATATCCACCTCAAGTTATACTGTATATTAAGTATGGATCACATATATGTTAGATGTAATCACATCATAATCATAAGTTAAGACTAAATCAATGTATCGAATCACTCTCGGCTCTGCTACTATCCTAAAACTAAACCATGGCCTAACGTAGGCCATAAGGCAGTGGGTTATGGCTGGCATGAAACATGCCACGATACTGCCCAAGTTTAAAACAACTTGTATAGTAAGAAATATAAAGGCTAACACTAAAACTGTACATTATTCTAAACTCACAAATAGCTGTCTCCTGTAAGGGTATCCAATAAGCACGTCCCAACTCCAAAAGGTAAAAAATTGATGATAAACTACCACAGTTTTTACACGCACATGTGAATATTCTCTCTGCCGGGTCTGACCTACATAAATTAGATTAACTCATTCCCGCGAAACACTACCCTGGATGGATACCGCAAACCACAGCTTACAGACTAAGAGCACATAACTTAGAATAACCATAACTACAGCTCATACTGCCATATAGGCATGACAGTATGGTTGAACGCCCAGAGACTTGAACCCTTTTTATAAAAATTATTATAACAGAACATGTCTAAAATAAATAATAATTAGTATGGAAGGCAAACGCCGCCAAAAATACAATTACAAACACACAACGTACTAGCACAAACACACAACGTGTTAGCACAAACACGCAACGTACTAACTCAAACACACAACGTAGGCCAACACCGCCAAAAATACATTTACAAACACACAACGTACTAACTCAAGCACACAACGTACTACGATGCAGGCCACAACCGCCAAAAATACATTTACAAACACACAACGTACTAACTCAAGCACACAACGTACTACGACGCAGGCCACAACCGCCAAAAATACAATTACATTCACACAACGTACTAACTCAAACATACAACGTACTAGCACCAACACACAACGTACTACGAATCGGGACCGTCCATTTTTAAGAGAGGGGTTAACGAAAGTCCTTGGACACTCTCCAAAAGTATAGAAAAATTAGAGGCGAACCAAGCATCGCCCTCAACGTCTGAAAAAGTTTGGGTGCAAA